TGGATTAGGTGACCTCCCGACATCTCTTCCAGCCCGAAATTTCCTATGGACCTAATAAGAGACCCACAGCCCATTGTGCGGGTTTGCGCTGAGTTGGGAGCGTAGTGCCCGACCGTCACGATAATTTTAAAACCTGCCGACAAAAAACGGCTGAAGAGAGAACCGCTATGCTCTGCAAAACAGAGTGCAGATCTTTCAGAAATTAGTTTTAATCGTGATAGCAACTCTAAGTACCTTGTGATAGCAAAATACAAAAAGGCAGTACAGTTGTGGTAGCTGTGGCACAGCATCAAAGGCATAATACGATTTTTACAGCCTGCTATTTCTGCTTTCCAGCCCTCGCCAGCACTTTGTCTCCTGCATTGGGAGCGGCATCTGTCTGGTCTCAGTGACTATGAGCAGAAGATCCGTATATCTCATCAGTAACAGTTTAGCTTTTGCTTTTTTTGCCACGTTTCCTCTCACTTACCGCAAACCTCTTTCCACAGCTCTCATTGCCACAGCATCCACAGCAATCATTATTCTTAAGGCCCAAGAATACCAAGGCGGGAAAGATCATCTACCGATGACAGAAATACAGTTTGAATTAGGGTGAATTCAAGGTACATTCACTTCTAAATATATTAGTTCTATGCCTTATTTTTTTCTTATCACTAAATAAGTTACTTATTGCTAACCTATTGGATGGCTTGGAACTTATCTGTTTATTGAAGAAGAATTTGCAGCATTGCAACCTGTATTTGAGGTACTGAGGAAATTCAACAATTCCAGTCGTGGTGTGAGCGGGGGGGAAGATGGAAATGTCTGAATTCATGTACTCACCAGCACACCGGATCCCAAGATCCCTCCGAAGTACCAAACCTCATCCGTAATGTGTTCATTGTTTTCCACCACTTTTCCTCCAGGGAAAAACAACAAAATGTTGGCGAGGGTGCATAGCACAGCCAGGGGGATTAGGGTGGTTCCCAGGCACTTCGCACAGCCTCCCGTGCACATGCTTTTTTAAAGAAGTGGCAAATGCAATTAACGGCAGAGGAAAAATCAGACGTTCTCAGAGCTGTTTTATATAAAGGAGCTTCTCGGAATACTTTACAGAATACAGTTTCTGCTGTGTCTTCAGGGGAGCTGAGCCCATAGAATGCCCCCTTCAGAGATGTTGCTGCAGTCGATCAGAAATGCACTGTGCTGGTTATTTATACGGTCTGGCAGCCGTGATGTCAATTTTCTGAACGTCCGTAAATGAAATTACGTTTAGTACAGCCTCTCATTTTGCTATGACAACCAGTAACCTCTGTTAATATTTTACTAATGTGCATGAGATACTTCACTATCTGGGCTCAGGGCACGGGTAGATATCCTCTTTAGTTCTGGATCATCGTTTTGACAACATGCAGTCCTTCTATAAAATATTTCGTTGTGAAAACTGGCATGAAAACACATAACAAATCAGCTGATGTTAATAACAGCTGTGCATAATGGAAAAGCTCTATTGAATTTTCTTTTCTTTGGGAAAGTTGAGCTAGTCATTTGTTACGTTGAAGCACTGAGACAACAGATCTGCAGTAAGTAATGAATTATTATTGAAGCAGTGCTTTGTGGCTGCTATCTGAATAAAAGGTAATCATCAAAAAAGCCTTTAGTGGTCTTCCTCCTTGTGTTGTGTCATTTTGTGTTCTCTAAGGGTAATGTGTTCCCTCATACAGGTTTTGGTTCATCTTCATCACATGACTTAATGTTTCAGTGAAGAGGGCTATTAAAAATTAGAGCATTTTTAATTGTCTTCCCTTCAAACAGTCTTGCACCATGTAGCACAGTTTCCAAAAATCATGAGATAGATACAAAATTTGCCTTTTAATCCCAAAAGGAACAAACCTGCCTGTAGTGCGAGGCGGACACGTGATTCCAGAGAAAATCACATGGGTTTCCGTTGTAAAAGAGTTTTATTGAGGTATTTGGTAAGACAAATGTTGAGTTTGCATATAGTGCAGCCCACGAGTTCTTGGTGTGCAGAGCAGATCTAGCGGACTAGCCTGGATGGAGGCAGTGGCTGTTCCCACGCGCACGGGTGGTTTCAGGAGGAGCCTGTAGTGGATCATTCCTTGAATGGTTTCGGGGCGTCATGCTGTATCTGTTTTCCTCGCTGTGTCATTGTGACTCCTCTCTCCACCACTCTGCTGGGAGCAGGGGAGGCTGTGAACAGCCCGAGCGGTGCGGTGTGACTTCAGGAGCGCGATCCTCCGCCCGGCTGCAGGAGCTGCCCACTTCACCCCACTCCCACCTCCCCCAAGGCTGGAGGCCCTTCTCCTCCACCTCCTCCTCCTCCTCCTCCTCCTCCTCGTCGTCCTCCTCCTCATCATCATCCTCCTCCTCCTCCTCCTCAGGGTCACACCGCTGGAGCTGGGGCACTGCTATTGCTTCTGCGGCAAAGATTCGGAACTTGATAACTCTCTCAACACCTCACTTGATACATGAAATAGACTTTCATGACCTGCCCAGTGGGTAGAGAGCGTCTGTAATTTGGCTCCCAGTTATAGCATAGTGACTCAGTAACAGGCATAGGGAAAATATTTGCTGTAGCTAGAATATAAATCTCACTTGAGTTTGTTTCCCTCCTCTGTAAAACGGGAAAAGGTTTAAGGGGTACTGCATCCAGCACTCTGCCATCCTGATTTACTGCAAGTGACAAAGGCAGATGCTGCTGCCAGGCTCTTGCCAGGCTTTTCAAGCTGAGCTTCCCAACGCTCCTACTCTTTTCCTCTCACTCCGCTCACCGGCATCATCAGTACCACGGAAGAATAGCCAGGCTCCTCTCTTCAACTATATTCTTTACACATGGCCCTTTTAAACTACTGCCAACCTTTGTGTGAGGGTTGGGTTACATTTGCTCGCCAGCAGGGACGGCGTAGGGGGAAGTGTCATCAAAACAAAACCCAGATTGACTCGAGTCTTTGTGCAGGGAGACGCCGAGGGACTTGCACACTCAGTTCCTCTCAGAGAGGTTCTTCCCTTCCGTTCTAGCCCACGTTTTCCAGCTCTGGCCCTCTATCTGGGAGGAGGACCAGTGAACCCTTTGTCAAGCATTAGCCACAACCGCTTGTGCTGGAATCAGTGCTCCATTGTGGAGACTCTGCGGGCTGGTAACTGGGGTGGAGCCCGTCTCCAAATGTTGTGTCATCCTGTCCTGGTCAACAGCATTTCCCCAGCAACTGTGGCGTCACCACGGAAGGCACTCCTTTCTGGCATGCTGTGAGAGGGTGTTTCCTCCTTTCCTCACCTCCTGAGTCATACAAAGTCCATGCTGTGCAGAGAAAGGTGAAATGACATATTTTCCTATGGAAAAATAATGGGAATGGAAGGCCACTCAGTTTTGGTAGTTTCAGGAGGATGTAAGCAGTGATGATACCTTATCAGTTCTTTACCTTTTAAAACATGGACAGGCAGTGATCGGCAAACTACGTGGAGACTGAGAAATGACAGGAACACATAATCTGATAAAGGATAAACATAAATCCAGCTGCATGCCCAGTGGGTATGTATAAACCTGCAGAGTGCTTGGTAGCTGTAAGTGAGAAAGTTCAGTGACCCTGAAACAGAACCAGATGTAGTATAGACGGTAACCTGAAAAGTAGAGTTAATCTTATGTTATGACATTGAAACTTGGAATACCTAGATGGTATAGGCAGGGTTAGTTTTACTTCCAGATCACCTTTCCGCAGTGAGGGCACTTCTCATTATGTACCATAGATTGCTGCTTGCCTAGAGAGGCAGACGGAGGAGGGACAAGAAGGCTGTCTTTTCTGTGGAAGTGGAACCGGATAACCCCATTTCCATTTTGGAACAAATTTGAAAGACCGTTATGGTTTTGAATTTGTTCAGATTTAAGAGTTGCGGTGGATCGTATCTTCCAAGCTGTATGTCTCGTGTACTTTGACATGGCTCTGTGCAGCTTTCGCTTGACAGTAAGAGTGCTATTATGTACTGCACTCATTTCAGTCTATGTGGTGTGAGACTGGGATGCTCAATGGCTCGTATTTATCTTACTCATAACTACAAACATGCTTCCAGCTGGCTAGTCCATCTCCCATGCTGATTTCACTCGGGACGTTTGTTAAGAATGGGGTCAGAGTCCGTGTTTACACTTCATTTCCTCTTCAGTTGTTTGTTTAACTATCTTCTGCTTGAGTTGTGTTCAAAAGAGAGATTTTAATCATCGAGTAGTATTTTCTTACATGCTGAGCTCTGCTAATAGTAAGGACCAAGAAGTTCTAAAGGAAGCAGACAGTTCAGTTTTTAGCTTTGGGATGCCTAGAACACACAAATGTGACTTTTTCCTTTGTTTTTCCAGAATAAATAAACTACTTAACTTTTAGTTCTACATTAAGGATCTAGTTACATACCCTGTATGTATCCACAGTTCCCATTGACTTCTGTGGGAAGCCTTGTTGGAGAAGAAGTGCAGAACTGAGTTGTCTTACCAAAATCTTTCTTCACCAGCAATGAAGACGGTGCGTTATTTCACCGAGCACATCTCCAGTTGCCGGTGGTCTGGCCCTGCAGCCTCGGTACTGCCCGTTGTCAGCATGAGGCTCCGCAGCCTCCTGGAGTGCTCATCCGTACAGGCGACACTCGACGACACGTTAGAGGCCGGCAGCAGACCCGTGCCCCGGCCACCACTGCGGTGGAGAGCACAATCTGAGCAGCTCGCCTTTGCACAGATGTAGCTGTTCATCGATTTCTCAGCTAACAAATAAATTAAAAAATGAGACAGATATGCAACGGCAAGTCTACTTTCTCAACAATTCTGTGAAAGTCTGGATTCTTCCTTTTATGAACCTGATGAAAAAGGATAAACTCTTGGGTGTTTTGCGAATTGTCCGCTGTTTGCTGACAGCCCCATGCTGTCTAAAGAAAAGCCCATGGGGCAAGGACGTGACGCGCTGTTGGTGTTACCAGACTATTACTACTTTTTTTAGCTTGGATTTCTTGCCTAGAGTTTGAGTTTATAAATATGGAAAGGGTGAGTGTCAGGAGGACGGAGCCAGGCTCTTCTCAGGGATGTCCAATGACAGGTCAAGTGGCAACAGGTGCAAGCTGGAGAACAGGAGGTTCCACAAAAACATCAGGAAAAACTTTTTCACCATTAGGGTGCCGGAGCCCTGGCCCAGGCTGCCCAGAGAGGGTGCGGAGTCTCCTTTGGAGACACTCAGAACCCTTCTGGACATGTTTCTGTGTGACCTAATATAGGTGATCCTGCTCTGGCAGGAGAGTTGGACGAGATGATCTTTCGAGGTCCTTTCCAACCCCTGACATTCTGTGATTCTGAGGGAGGGTAGGACACTGCCCACGCCTTCTTTTCTCCTTAGTTTTTTCTTTGCTGCTGCGGCTTAGAGAAGCTTACCCCGTTCCTGTTTCCAGAGCATTCTCATGAGAGGTGGTGGATTTTTCATACTCCTCTCTCGTCCTCCACCAAATCACCTTGCAGTTATGAAATCTGCATTAGGTACAACAACAAATCGGTTGCTTTGTGAATAGCCATCCAGGTGGTCTAAGGCACATGAACTGTTCCCTGTTACCTACTGTTTGTGGCATGTAATTATTGATTGTTGTCGTCAAATTTGCCAGGCCAGGGGTAGAATTACACTGCTGGGAACAGCCTCCTCATTAAACTTCAAATGGTCCTTGGTGCTGAAAGTCTTGCCTCTGGGTATGCTCTGTCCCTTCTCACAGCATACTTCTTGTCATTGTAACTACGCAGTACCTCTTTAGCCAGGGTCTGTTGCTGAATTATTACTAACCAAAAGAATATTCTAGTTCTTCCTTCTCTTAGTCACGCTTTGTTTTGTGCGGGCAAAGTTTGTCCCAGCTTGAAACTGAGGTAGCTGTTATCCCCCATCAAAATCCGGTGTGATTCGCAGGTATTATATACCAGTGTCCTGTCAAGAGCAGAGCTGGAGCATGTTAACTGTTTCACACATGTCTTTTATTATACTCTATAC